TGCTGCAGGGAGCGTCCCTCCTGCCCCTGACCTCCCTCTCCCCATCCCCGTTCCCCTCCACCTCTCACCCCCTACCCTTGGGGCCTAGGCACCCAGGAGGGAAGAGGGGAGGAGTACACACTCAACTGGCTTGTGCCAAAGGGTTACTGCCCTCCAGCCGCCCCTTCAGTGCCCCTCTAAACCACACCCCTGCCCTTCTGCACACGGTGCCTGCTCCCCTGTGGGGTGTTGGTCCTTCCCCCGCCCACCTACTCCAAGCCCACCTACTCCAATCTTCGCTGAGCCAGGCCACCGTGGGGCAGAAGAAAGGACAAGGGACCCTGTGTGGCCGTGGGCAAGCAGTGACCCTGTTCAGAACTCACTTCCCCCAACTGTGCAATAGGGCCCGTCGTCCTCCACTGCCGTCCCCCTGCCCTGATGTGCCCCCAGGACTGTCCAAAGGCTGCGAGGGGCGAGGCGCTGGCAGGTGGTGGCCTGTGTACCACCATCCCAGATTCCTGTAGCCTCGCTGATCCGCCTTCCTCTGATCCTCTGCAGCCCTCGCCTGTATATTAGTGTTCACTGAACAAGGTCTCATTATGTAAAAAATAAAAAAGTAGTTCTTTGAAAAAAAGCAATCAGATGAATTTGTGAGGGAAAGGCCTTAGCAGGGATTACGCAACAGCTCTGCGCCAGACACCACTCTGGGCCTCGTCCTGTGACCCTCGCCCCCACCAGGGTGGGTTCCTCAGCCCATTTCCAGACAAGGACACTGAGGGTCACAGGCTTCATCACACATTGACTCAGGATCTGATGCAGAGCAGGGTTGTGTGGCAGCTCTGAAAGAACAAAAGGCCTTATGATGTTACCCACAAAATGACAAAGAAAACTGTGTCCCGAAGAATTCAAAGCCCACCTCCCGCGGCCAGTTAGCAGACATGGGACCTCCCTGAGGCCCCCAGCGCCCCAGACTCTCTGTCCGGGGCTCCTTCTCCAAGTCCAAACACCACAAGAACCTTACCAGTGACGGGGAAGCACCCTGCCTTTCCCCAAAGCCCAGGCCGGTGCCTTAGGAGCCCTGCTGCTGTAATGGGGGGTTAAGAATGAGGCCAGTGGGCATCTTCAGATGGCAAATGTCATGTCAAAGGAGGCCAAGATGTGGGGAGCCCCGGGGACAAGTATCATGGAGCTTGGACAGAGTCAGACAAAGATGAGACAAATAGGGAGGGAGTACAACTTACATGCACATTTACATATTCGAGGAGCAATTACAAACCTTTGTTCTGCATCCCCACAGCTATAAAAAGAGGAGAAGTGAATCAAGAATGCAGAAATGACGTCTACTAGGGTACCATTGTTCCCACTGCGGTCATGAGGGGTTTTGTCGTCTTTGCTCTGCGGCCTTTAATTAGCAGATGAGCCCCAGCGCTGGGCGAGTTTTTGAGAAGGGCTTGGAGTCGGGGGCGGGAGGAGGGGTGATCAGATCGGAGGGATCATTATGATTGTCACGATCATTATGACGAGGCTTTTCCTTGCCAGCAGTGGTGTGCGGCGTTGTCGTGGAAACCGCGTGCTTATTAGTAACTCACTCCGTTGAGGTTACTGGGATGCTGGCCTCCCTTAGCAGCTGGCTCGCTGGTTGCTCCCTGGTAGCCGCACAGTGGCCTTGGTGACCCAGACAAAGAGTCGGCTCTCTGCAAGGCCTGCGCTGCTCTGGTTCCAGTTCTCCCTCTGGCCTGCTCTCCATCTCCACAAACAGCCCATGAAACATAACCCCCCCCCCCAGGGCTCTCGAAACGTTCCAGGCAGATCTGAGTGGTGGTCATAGGGTGCAGAGCAGTTAAGAATGCACCAAGCCTCAGGCTTAAGGTTAAATACACTCTACAGCACTTACGTTATTGTCAATAACAATTTTTAAAAGTCTGTCCTTTTCTTATCACCTGGAGAGTTATGTCCTTTCCACAGGCATGCACCTCACTCAGGGGGCATCTGAACACCAGCGTCAGGGGCAGCAGCGTTTAGAGTGGGCGGCGCCTTGTGCCACAGACCTCTGGGTGCCCGTGCATCCTAGACTTTGTATTACTGACTCCTCGCTGCTGTCTTAGGAACTCAGTGCTTTTCTCCCCATTTGACAGTTTGGAAACTGAGGCTCCTTGAAGTGCTGTGGCTTGTCCAGAGTCCCCCAGGGAGGGTCCGTCTGAGCCCAAGTCTCTGCGACCCCTAGCCGTGCCCTTTGCACTACATGTGGGCAAACCTCCCTGACCGAGTAAGATGCGTCCAGAAAGGGAATTCCAGGACCATAGCATCGTTGAACCCAGACCATATGGAGAAAATTAAAAAAAAATAATAATAATAAAGGAATGTTTCTCATTTAAAAGAAGAGGTCATGAAAGAGTGGTGAGAGAGTAATGGGTCTCATTCCAAACTGCTCAATACTTTAAAAACAAATCATTTGCCTACACTGAAAAAAATGGAAATGCAGATTTCTGCAGTCTCCTAAAACTCAGACCTGGCTACTTGGGGCCCACATTCCCACAGTATACACCCTCCAGTTTGCCCCACTCTCCATGCAGCCCCTTCACTCCTTGAAGTGAAGTAGGGGGGGTAGCCACCTACTAATTGGTGGTCTGGCATCCTTTCATTCTCCTCCTGGGAACCATGCTCCAGTCCTCTTGAGAACCACCCCCTTTCCCACTCCTAGTCCAGCCACTTTGAGTTGGGTTGAATCCACCCCTGGCTCCAATGTTAGCATTGTGTTAATCTACCCAAAGTGATTGGCATTAGCTCAGGTTTGGACATGACCCCATCAGAGCCAGTGAAGGTGTAACAAAACTTTGATTGGAATTTGCTGGACTTGAACCTGCAGGTTGTAGCCTGGAGCTGCTTTCAGACATCTTAAAAGCATGAGGAGTCTTAGAACAAATCCAACATAGAGAAGAAAGGAGCCTAGTAATGAAGAGGTCCTGGTATCCTTATTTAACCCCTTGATCAAGCTCTACCTGAAGCTGTATCATATTCTTTATTTATGTGAACCAATAAATTATTGGATCTTTTGTTTGTTTGTTTCTTCAAACCACTGAAGATAGTTAGGAGCCATTTGTTTGCAAGTAACAGAAAAGTCTTCCCTAGAGAAGCCCTTGGCCCAGCCAACAACAGGAGTGAGACCCAATGAGCAAAAGTGATAGAAATCTAAATTTCAACCCAACGAAGGTGAAACTTTTCAACACTGAATTGTTAAGAAGTAGCAATATGTTATGAAATCCAAGTCAATGAAAGCAAACAGGTTAAAATTTATTATCAATGTGTCAGTTTTGGCGTGGCATAGGTGGATGGAGAAGTTAACCCCACCTTAGGTTCCTTTTGGCTTGATGACCCTGTGAATATTGAGAATTGAATACTCCTCAGAAAAAATTTCTTGAGTACTCTGAGAAGGTCCTTCCCCTACCCCTATTATCCATTATTAATAAATCCTAATTGTTCCTTTTACAACAATTACAATTTTTGACTTGTATTTTCAATTAAAAATTTTAATTTTAGACTTATAATTTTGTTTATTCCTGTCTCCCCCACTAGACCATAAGTTCCATAAGAGCAGAGACCTGGTCTCTTTTAATTTCCTGTATCTCCAGCACCAAGCAAAAGTCCCACCACACAGTAGGGCCTTTAATTACCTGAAGGAATGAAAGAATGAACAAGACCCTCACTGACTCCATGTTGTCCACGAAGTCACTCAAAAAGCCTGTGTCCAGATGGAGCCCACAAGGTCTGTGGCCACCGTGTCTCTTTCACATTAGCTCTTTTTAAGACATGTCATTTGTGCCATTTAATGAAGGACATCATTTCAGTCAAGAACATTCTGCCACCCAGGCTCTCGTGTCCTTCTTTTATTACATTGATTTGAAAGAGAGAGAGAGAAACATGATTTTTGTCATTCTACTTATTTATGCATTCATTGGTTGATTCTTGTATGTGCCCTGACCAGGGATCGAACCTACAACCTTGGCATAGTGGGCTGATGCCCTAACCGAGATACCTGGCCAGTGCTAGCGTTCTTCATGTCTAGCATGCTTGCCCTTGTCCGGGGGCATTTTTCTCTCCCTCCCTGGTCATCCAGCACAGGGGACAGCCCCACACTTCAGGTGGCAGCACCTCCTCCTGCTCCCCCCAGTGTGTGGCTGGGCACTTAAGCTTTGCCACTGTCCTAGAAGACAGTGTAGGGAAGGAAGCCCTCCTTTACCGAGCACCTACTATGTTCAAGGAGCTTTGTATATATGATTGCATCGAATCCTCTCAGCCGCCTTGCAAAGGTGGCACTCTCAGTCTTCACTGAACTAAGGCTCAGAGAGGCCAGCTGACTTACCCAAGGTCACACAGATCTCAGACTTAGGGCTATGCTCTTTCTATTATCTTAAATTCAGTTTTTTAACATAAAACTGTGCGTGCATGCGTGCATGCACCTGTGTATTTTTCATTTCCCAGCACTCTTTTCTGCAAATAGTGTTTCCACTCCCTGGGGACGGAGACATACATACACACAGCCTCCAAGCCATCAACAATTTTATTTATTTATTGTACTGAAGGAGTGGGAAATAACACAGGCCTATTAAGGATTAAGCAAATTCCAAGTAAATTGCATAAGTGGGATTTTTATAAAGCCCACAAAGTAATCTTAAAACAATCAATATGTTTCAGAACATCATGAGAGAGCCGGGAGTTGCACATGAGCAGTGGTGCTCGGTAGGATTTATACAAATTAACCAAACTCAAGTCCCTTTCCTCTCCTATCCAGCCCAGCCTCCTGGAGCCACAGACCAAAGCACAGTGCCTGAGGACCAGTGAGTGAAACAGACAGAGAGGAAACTTTTATGGGAACCAAGGCGTAGGGAGACCTCTGCCTTTGGGTCTGAGATATCTGCATTGAGGGAACTCATTCGTCATCAAACACTTAATCATTTTATTCTTCTGTTTTTATTAATATTTGACATTAAGAGGGAAGAGTCACCATGGGGGGTGGGGGGAAGGCCTTTCACTCTCACTGTTGCTCCTCGTTCCCTTCCTCGGTTCCCACTGCGTATGTCTGGCCAGATGGCATGGAATCCTGGCGGCAGACTCAGCTGCTCAAGAACGAACGTGGCTGCGCTTAACCTCATCAGCTCCGCGCAGCGCCAGTTCGTCCTGGGGCGGGAATGTGACGCTGCTCAGTTTAATTAGTTTGATGAGGGCCGAGGGAGCTGGTCCACATTCTGAGTTTGCTGCACAGAACAAACAGGTTTGCCCTGCTCCCTCCTTGGTCGTTTCTGCATTCAGAGGCAGGGCTGCTCTCCACGACCATTTAGGGAATGGCTGTCATGCCTTTCCTCTCCCGTGAGGCGTGGGCGCTGTCCAGGGTCCCCACACGGGCTGAGGTCCAGAAACTCGGTTCTTCGAGAAGTGTTTCTAAACCATGGACACTCAAAACGCACCAACATTTAATCTACTAGAAGACTGAACTTTCTAGTGCAGAAACTCCTGCTCCAATCAAAGGCTGGGTTTGGGCTTTTCGCCTAAAGCACAGTCTTCTAAGTGGGGTGCACAGGGGATCCTTTGAGCCTTGGGAGTGAAATATTAGGGTGTCTATCGTTTATTTCTCTTATTTCACATTTATACCTTTTCTATGTTTTATGATACGTATATATTATTTAAATAACTATATCTGCATGGGAGTTATGCTTGTATTTCTTCTGAGAGGAGCAGGTGGCCAGCAAAGCATGGAAACGAAGGGTGTAGAGACATGAAGAAATCAGCATGGATTTCCGGACCTGGGGAGTCTCGTGAATGGGGTGGAGGCATTGACAGGAAGAGCAGTGGCTTTAGAGGCCTAGGGTCTGAGCCAAGCACGAAGCCCACTGAAGGGGGAACCTCCGCCCCCGGGCTCGCTGACCCCGACAAGCACGGCACTCCGGGCAGAAGAGAGGCAGGCTGGGCCGGGGTGCGCTGTGAGCGTGGGGGTGGGGAACATAAGGAGTGCACTGCAGACTGGGGGGGCTCCTGACTCACCTCCACAGGGGGCAGGTGTTTAAGCATCAAAAAGCTCTCTGGAGTAGGCACCGGGGTCCTCCTGAGACCGAGTTACCACCTTGAACTGGCGCCGGAGAAAACCTCCGTAGCGCTTCTGGTTGTCCCACTTGAGCTTGGGACGTATGCGCCGCAGGAAGCCCCCGTAGCGTTTGTAGAGGTCCTCGTGGCCCACCCTATCCCCCTCCCCCGCCCCCTCCCCAACCACCTCAGAGCTCCTCTTGGGGTATTTGCGCAAGAAGCCCCCATAGCGTTTGACCTGCTCCTTGGGGTCCTCCTCATCAGAATGAAGTGCGCCAGCTTCCAAGGTGCCATCATTCAGCTGGGTGTCCCCCATCAGCTCCGACTCCCACCCCTCCTCCAACACGCCAGAGAGACCCCTGAGCTTGTCTGCCAGGCTCCTGCTCAGAGCATCCTGCTCTGCGGGAGTGCGGAGGAGGAATCGGTTCTTCTCCAGCTCTTCCAGGTAGGGCCCCCTGTGCTTGGCCAGCTCACCATAGGCCTCTTCCAAAGCTGCCTTGCTCTCCTCGTCTTCCTTACCACCGAGCCCAAGAGGGAAGGGGGTGAAGAAGGACAGAAGGTCCTGGCACCTCTCCCACTCTTTGGTGGGCAGCAGCGCAGCCTGGCATTCCAGGGAGCAAATCTGTAAAAGAGTAATGTCAGTAATGACATTAGTAATGACGGTAGTGATGCCACTGCCATCAAGTTGTCAGAGCACACGCACCCCCTGCCCCAGCCTGTGTCTGAGAAAATCAAAATCAGCCGTGATCCCTAAGCCCCAGGCTACCCACTTGAATGTTTCCGGTGGTGCATAAAGGAGCCCTCTTCCCTCCGCAGGCTCCACGCACACGGTCCCTTCCACCCTCCCGGGGGCCCAGGAGCCTTGCCTGGTGACTTTGTGCCCAAGTGGAAGATGAGGAAACAAATGTGGGGAATGAAACAGCTTTCCCCAGGGCACAGGGCCGCAGTGGCAACGCCAAAACTGGGAGTCGGGCCTTCCCACAGTGCTCTGCTGAGCTCACCAGTGTCTTCCACTCTCAACTGCAGAGGGAGAGGCTGGTTCTCCCAACCTTTCCTGGGTGTGGAGGATGCTGCAGACATGTCACAGAGCAGGACAGAAGCAATGCGGAGCAGCGGACAGAGCCACCAAAGGGATGTTTGTCAAATCTAGGGGACAACACTGTCTAGTGCACAGGAATGTTGGGAGAATTCAAACATGATGATGGTGACAATGATGACAATAACGACACTGCACAACTCTGGCACTTGGACCCAGGCCGTCTAATGTCATGAGTCCTCCTGCCTAACCTCTGTTCTCTCCTGGGATCGTGGGTGGGCAGCACCGGGCAAGCTGCGCTCACCTCAGCAAAGAGTGGCAGGATTGTGAATGTAATACTTTGCATCAGCATTTCATGGAATCACCCCCATTTTGCAGATGAGGAAACCAAGACTCAGAAAGAAGCGTCCACAGCATGGAGCTAGGAAGTGGCAGAACCAAGGCTGCATTCTGTCCACCACGCCCTTGGCAGCTCTGCTCCAGACTATCTGCTGTCACAGGATTGGAATGTGGGGAAGCGTGACTCAAAGCAGAGCCTATGAGGCTGAGCCAGGGGATGCTATGACCCAGGACAGCAGTCAAGGCTTGGATCTATCAACCAGACCCTGGCACTGAGGGGTGGCGGAAAGAGCTCCTACGGCAGTGACCAGATTTGGAGGTGCCCATCAGCCTGGTGGCAAGAAGCCCTGAAAAGTTACTCTAAGGCTGCTGCTGACTCCCAAAGTCAGCGCACATCATGAATGATACTCCCTTTTGCCAGGCACCAGGCTCCCTGGAAACCCGAGTCTCTGTCTCCAACCTGAGTCAGCCCAGGCTGATGATGGGTGCAGAGGAAATGAGAGCTAGAAAACAGCAGTCCCTGGCTCCCAGGCTGGCCACAGAGCAGGACGTGCCCTGCACAGGTGGGACAAGTCTGCAAGACAGGCACACCACTGCCCAGGCCTGCCCTCTTCCCTCCGCAGGCTCCACGCACACGGTCCCTTCCACCCTCCTGGGGGCCCAGGAGCCTTGCCTGGAACCTACCAGGGGGTTGATGGGTTTGGGCCCATCCTGGGTCTTCACGGCACACAGGGAGCAGCGGGACAGGCAGTCCGCCGTGGCGCAGGGGAGCGCAAGGAGGCAAGCAGCCAGCACCAGCCCCTGCCACGCCATGCTGTCTTGGTTCTTCCTGCTGGGAAGGAGAAAGGGAAGATAGTGAGGTCTGAGACCGCCTACCCTGTGGGGGGGGGTGTTGAGTCTGCAGTCACCTCATCGACTCCTGCTGGAGCACCCAAGGCAGGCACTCCGCTTCCCACTCTACAGATGACAAAACAGAGGCCCAGAGGGGCACGGGGGTGCCCAAGGCCAAGGGTCGAGGAAAGGAGTGAACATGCATTGAGTGCCTCCGCTAAGTGCTAGGAGCTTTCCTACACAGTTCCCATTTAATCTGCACAACGGCTCTGTGGGCAGGGTGTGCCATTGCACAGGTGGGGAAGTGGAGGCTCAGGGAGGGGGAGGGATAGTGGACACTCCCTGGGAGTGTGCACAGTGGGGCAGTGGACCAGCCAGGACTTGGCCTGAGTCAGTCATCCTTCGAAACACACTTTGATTACCCACCAAGCCAAAAGACACTCCAGCCATCTGCTTTCCTGAGTTCTCCGAGGCTTCCACCACCTGCCTTTGTCCCCCTCTGCTCAGGCTGTCAACGGGCCAGTCCTTTCTGCCGTATAAGGCCCTTGGAATTTGTCTTTTCCACCCAGCACTTCTACCCACTCTGGCGATCGCTCCACGTTCCCCCACCCCTCCACCCCGACACTTCAGCTCCGGGGTCCAGCCACTTCCAGCTCCTTGCAGTTACCGCAGTGAATCTACCAGGCCCTGCCCCGCCTCTGGGCCTTTGCACGTCCTATTTCTTCCACTGGAAATCCTGCCTCTCCTCTTTGGCTACCTGTCATTTAGGTCCTTGACCAGACATCAGCTCATCGAGGCAGCTCTCCCTGACCCCCTAGGCTATATGGGAAGCTCCTCTTTTGTATTATCCAAGCAACTGTGCCCCTTCCATCAAAACATTCCAGTAGGTGGTAATTAGCTGTGTGAGACTTCAGACTTAGGTTCCGTGAAGGCAGCAGCTGCGTCTTGTCTGGGTCTCGTCTGTGTCCCTGTGACACCCTCTTCATGCTCCTCAAACATGCCGTGCTGGCTCCTCCCTCAGCGCCTTGGAGCATTCTGTGCCTCTGTCTGCAAGGCTCTGTCCTGAGTTTTCCATGGGTTGCTCCTTCTTGTAACCAAACGGATCCAACGAGCCATCCCCAGGGCGGTGTTTGCTGAGCCCTGTATTTAATGGGCTCCGGTCTCTCTCGTGCCGCCTGCTGTGTTGGCATCACCACCTCATGCTGTCCTATCATTCGACATTCGTTGTGGTTTGATATCATTTCCCCACTTAAATGTCAGCTCCATAAGGGCACAGATGCTATTGGTCACAGTGTCTGCTGTATCCTGACACCTATGGCCCTGACCACACAGAGGAGGTCCTCACTAAGTACTAGGCAGATGAATTAATGTTCACAAGAGTCTGTTAAAAGCTGTCCCTTTCATAGTTAACTTCCTGGAAACCAAATATCAAGACCCAAGCCATTCAAATGGGGGCACAAGGCAGTTCTCCCACCTGGCAATGGGGAGTTCCCCCAAGACACCTACCCAGGGTGGGGCTCCCTGCTCCTCCTTGCCCAGCTCTTGCAGCCTGACACCTCTAATGCCGCTGTCAGGGATGGCTGTCCTTCCCTCCTCTGAGAGCCCCTATCCTGCAAACTGCCATTTGCTCCTTGATTCAAGGGTTTAGAAGCTTCCACCACATGGCCCCAGAGTCCCACGCTGCAGCCCAGGGCAGGTCTCCCTCCTTGGAACCCGCAGTAGGCTCCCACATCAAAGCATGGCTGATAGTGGTCCCACCTACCATGTATGAAGCCCCTACTGTGCTCCAGGCCTTGAGCTAAGCCCCTAAATCCACCATCTCATTCTTTCCCCTCCAGGGAAGCGGCACTTCCAGTTCAGTGAATTGCTCATCCCTCAGCAGATGGGAGCCGGGGTGCAAGGCCATCCTGTTTGATTCCCTACATGTGTGCCCTTCATGATGCAATTTCTGCAACAGGTGACTCTAATATCCAAACCCTCCGTGAGGCCCAGAGGGCCCTATGCACAGGCCTTTGACTTGTATACTGTCCTTAGTCCACCCACCAGCTCTGAGAGATGAGCATCATTGTCCCCACTTTGTGAGAGAACTGGTGTTCAGAGAGGCTCAATAAATCTCCTAAAGTTGCAGAGCAATTAAAGGCGAGAACTCAGGGCCAGCTGCCTCTCTTTGGCAGGGCAAGGTGTGCTTGGAGGAAAAAAAAATGGAGGGAGGCGACCTGAGTCCATCCCATGCCTCCCTCCTGCCCTGGAGTTTCTCTCACTCCACCGGCTGCTGAGCGGATCTGGGTTCCAGGCAAGCGAGCTGCGCCCCTGTATGCGGATGAGCAGGCGGCTCCTGTTTTCCCTGACACCAGCCAAGGCTGGGCTGGCCTGTTGCAAGACCAGCAGTGAATTAGCTGGGGAAGGAAGCCTGCCCCACCCTCTCACTCCTGGCTGCAGGTGCCCCACACAGCGTGGCTGCCGCAGGAGGAGGTCTCATTCGAGATCTCTTTGTCCCGGGCAAAAACAGTGTCAGCCTCCTTTCCTCTCACCCGTTAGCTTTATATTTAATAATAATAATTCTGCCTGGTCTAATGGTCGGTAAGCACTCAAGACGTTCTGCATAATTCTCGGGGAGTGAACTCCCTTCTACTCACGGTAACCCGGGGGCGTGGGCACTCCTGTCCTGCTACTTTACAGATGAGAAAACCGGGTAGGACCCCTGCCAAATCTCTAAGCTAGTAAGTGGCCCAGCTGGGATCTGTACCAGGCAGTCTGTCTCCAGAGCTCCCCTTCACAACCACGGTGTATTGTCCCAGCCCCTTTCATCCACCCCTCCCCAGCCTCCTGCTTCAACCTCCAGGGGTCCCTATGAGCCCCCTCCTAGCCCCCGGGCAGCCCAACCGGGCTGCCTTATGGTGCCTCCAAGACACCCTTCACACAGCAGCCAGAGGACAGTTCTGAACCACCAGTCTGACTGCCGCCCTGCCTTGCATCCTTCGAGAAGAAGCCGGCCCTGAAGCAGCGGCCCATGGGCTTTCCTACTCGAGGGGCTGGTGTTGCCCAGGGCTCACTGCGCACCAGGACCTGGGCCCGAGGCATCCTAATGTGTGTGAGAGGGCTTTACAAAAGCACCATGAGGCTGGGACTAACAGTCTCCCCATTGTCCAGAGGAGGAAATGCAGGCACGGTGAGTTTATGCCCTCTGTCCAAGGCCTCCCCGCCTCGCCCGGCAAATGCACAGCACTGACCCAAGCCCGACCACACCACCTGCAACCCCAAAACAAGCACCTTGACTTCTTAGCTTTGCACACACAGTTCCTTCCGCATGGAATGCCTTTCTTACCCACTCGTCCACTCCCACCGCCCTCTCACCTGCTGACTCTGACTTGTTCTTTAAAACAGCCTGGGTTGCTTCCTTCAGGAAGTGTGCCTGGATTAGGTGTCCCCTCTGAGCTCCCAATCACCTGTGCTGGCTCTGCCACATCATTACCTTTTTTTCTCAAGAAAAGGGAGCAGAAATTGGGGGTCAGGAAGGGTCAGGTGGGGCTGAGGCCTCTGGCTTCCTCCTCCTGGCCCAGCACAGGGTCTGGCTGCCTGTAGGACAAACTCAGCAGGTGCATGGAAGGGTGTTCTAATCCACAAAGGCATTGTTTTTTAAATTGCTGCCAATGGTTTAAAATTGGCAGATTTTTACATGTTAAAAGCCTCCATTTCCAACTTGTCTTTAAAAAATCAAAAAGCCTCCGAGACATCAAGCCTGCATTCTAATCTGGTGGCAGTCAGTCACCGAGGGGGCACAGGCAGCACCATCACCGATGTGGGGGGCCCCCACCCCCCGCTGTGGCCTCCCTTGAGTCTGTCCCCATTCAGCACCTGACAGACATCTGAGTTGCATCCCCCGGAGTGCTAACACGTCTGACCACTGGGTGAAGCCAGTCGGGGTGCGAGGGGTGAGCTGGTGAGAAAGGAGAGGGGTGGCCTCTGATTTCGTGCTGACCCAGAAGCGGGACTACCACGTAGTTAGTAACATGGACTCAGAGGCCAGCCCACCACTCACCACCGGTGGGGAGAGTCACCTTGATTTTCTCTACTGCAAAGCGCAGCTAATAACCTCAGAGGGCTGGCATAGGAGTTCCAATAAGTGATCGTGTAGAGTAGCACATAGTAGGTAGGTTACTGCTTTCCACACATTATTCTAATCCTCACAATGACCCAGAAGTGAGTGTCTTTGTACCCAATGAAAAGTGGGCAAGACTGAGGCTCAGAAAGAAGTCACTTGGCTTGGAAATGCGAGAGTCAGGCTTCCTGACCTCTCTGGGTTAGAAGGTGACTCTAATAGAGACGCATCTGCCTGAGAGTTTCCTAAGAAATCCTGTTTCCATCCTTTTGTGAAATAAGCAAGTTGCTGAGTAATGTCAGATGGATCCTGGGGGAGTATTTTCTCCTTTGCTACAGGGATTTGCTTCAAAGTCCCACATCAGAGGCAGCCCTGCCTGCTTGCCATCTCTGATTTGGGATGAGCTGAGAAAGGGAACTTGGCCATTCATCGGTGTCAGAGGTAGAAGCAAACCCCTCGGTGAGCTCAAGGGATGGTGACAGGCCTGTCAACCCCACGGCAGGGCTTGTGTGGCCCCTGGTGAAGGAGGGCCTTCTAACAGCGCTCCCAGAGAAGAACCTCCACACTTCCGAGTTTTGGAAGCATTTCCTTAGCCACTGCCTCGTGGCGCCTTGTGACAGCCCAGCGAGGGAAGCATGGGCTGGTGGAGGAGGGGGGGGACTCTCCAGGGAGAAAGAAAATGTTGGCCTTACCAGTCTCCTTAGTCACATGACCCAGTTCCTTTCAATGAACCCCTCTCATCCTATTGTTTCGACACCCGCTCTCTCTGTGGCCGTAGTGCAATGACCGCCAGGAGCTCGGAGGCACAGCTCTGTGTTGGAACAGGCACGGTGAGGTCCAGGCTGAAAATCCTTCCTGTCTGGCCCGTGACGGAAAAAGTTTGTTGACCCCTGCCCTCACTAATTTTATAGCCGTTTTATCATTCTAATTATTCTAATAGTTTTAAAGCTGATTTTCTTGGGGAAATCTGAGGGGAATCACTCCCCTCCCCAAACCTCAGTATTTTCATCTGTACATGGTGTATCACCTTCCTCCCATGACTCCATAAGGACCAACTAAGACAGCATCGTTTATAGGGCCAGCACACAGTAGGCCTTTTTTTAAACCCAGGGCCCAGAGTTCCTTGAAAAGGAAGGGAGTTCTTGCCCTATTATCTCCTCCTGATGATGTTTCTATATCGCATTCAGAGGGTTCGGAGGAATAGCAAGCATTTTTATTTAAAAAGCCAGCATGGAATAATAATGGCTTGATTTAACATCGCAATTATCTCTCCAAGCACTTTATCGCATATTAGCATCCCTATTTGATAGAAGAGGAAATGGGGAAAGGTAAAAATGAAATCACTTGTTTAAGGTCACATCATGAGTCAGGAGGGAAATGCAGACGGAGCGGAGCCTCCCACACTCGGCCGTGACTCAACCGAGGAGATGCGTCCTTTAAGTGACCCTCCAACCACGCCAATCACAGCAGCCAGCACTGCCTGCCGCTCTGTGCCCAGCCCCGGGGCTCCCATGGAGCTTCTGGGGCAGGGGCTGTAGTTACGGTCTCAGCTTCCAGTGAAAACCAAGGGAAAAAGCGCCCCCAGGGTCACCAGCACAGGCGTGGCAGAGCTGAACTTCTCTGGGTCTACATAGCATCCACTATTTAAGGCACAGCTCCAGGGCCAACTCATTGCTCTGCATTTTATCTCAATTACTGCATTTTAACCCGCAGGAGAATCAGGCAGCCTGGGCACTCGGAGCCCCATTTTCCAGATGGGGTAACAGACTCAGGAAAGCACAAAGACTGGGTCACAGCCAACAGGCAAAGACATCATAGAAGTAGGCTTAAAGCCAGTCTGTGACTCTACTCCACAAACCACCCCTGAGGCGCAGGTCTGCATTAAATGTCCATCCAGTCTCCCTACCAAACCATCTTATTCCTGAATATAAGATTATTTCAGGAGTTTTACACCACTCAACTACGCATACACATATAAATATATAAAGTTCATCTTTGTGGGTCTCCAGTTGGCTAGCGAAGAGACACCCCCAAAAATAGAGCCCAGTGCTTTTGTTCAGACTTTAGCATCCTTAACAAAGGACAGATGATCAATTTAGGAGGAATGGAGAGCGAAGCCACCATTTAGTCCAGCGAGAACTAACACACAGAACGCAGGCCGAGGGCTCAGGCCAAGGACCAGCCAACTCTCTCAGGCCCTTTGTTGTCCAGAAGCCAGAGTGAAAGGCAGCTTGCAGCTGATGGTCACAGAGGGTTGTTAACTGCATTTTCCAAAGAATGTATTTCAAAAGCAGGATTCACATGGAACACCCACCCTTTGTTACTTGATGCAATTAAGGGATTGGGAGAAAGGAAAGGGGGGTGGGCCGGAGAGGGGGATGGCGGTGAGGGGACACTGGGTGGGGGGAGGGCAGAGATGGGACTTGCGTACACACAGAGAGAAGTGACATCTAGAAGATCCGAGTGAGATGATACACAATGTGGAGGGGAAATGAAGATGAGAAACAGAGATGGAGAGAGGGTGAACAGGAGCAGATGAAGAAGGTATAAGGAAGAGGCAGAGGAATGGGAGGAAAGAGGAGAGAAGGGAACAAAGTGACGGAGAGAAGGAAGGAAAGGGAGTGGCCTTTGAGTCGGGAGGTTGACCTACTATGTGAATCGCAAATACCAGGTGTCTCCTCCTGCCGGGGGACCAGAGACCCAACCACATAACAACTGCTGCGTAAACCTTTGTCAGGTTGAATGGGACTGCCCAGTAATAGGTCAAGGAGCCAAAGGACAGTGGAGAAATTGCCCCCTAATGAATATGCCTGCAGCCTGCTGCTGACCACTCTGGCCAGCAGAGACAAGCCTCCGAGCCAAAGGCTATGCCTTGTAGACTGGGGCCATTTACCGCCCTCTTGCCAGAGGCGTCATCTGGACCCAGAGTGGGAGGGATTAATGAGGTCCAACTTCCAAGGACCCAAGGACACTTCTCAATCTCTTGGGCCCGATTCTGAGCTAACCCGGGTGTCACCAGTAAGGTTTACTGCCCACCCCAATGGCCAGCTCTGTCTTACTAAAATTGTTTCAGACCTTTGTCAAACCCAGTAAGATTAACCAACATTTATGGGCTGAGATGAGAGAAAATGATGAGAGAAATTGGCTAGCGGGCCACACTTTCTCAGACACGCGTTGAAATCCAACCAGCAACTATTGATCCTGCTCGGATTGATGGAAGACATCTAATAAATACAACAATTGTGTGAGAATGACCCGAGGGGGCTGGCAGTGGGCGGGGGAGTCAGGGAGGATCGATCGAATGGAGAAATGAAGCCTTCCGTTGTGTGTGGAGAATGGGCTGGGGAGGGGAGAGCAGTGCCTGCCCCACAGGCAGGCAGAGTAGGCGTCAGAGCCTATTTTCCAGACGCTGCCCACACCGTGATGGAGTGAGATGATCAAGGACTGGAACAGACTGGGGAGGGAGGAGGAGCCCAACTCTGCCACCTGGAACAGTGAAACCTGAGCAGCTGTACTAGCATTTATTGAGTACCTAGTCAATGGCAGGCACGTTTCAGTATCCCAAGAAAGTCTGACACTAACCCCAGGAGGTGAATCTTACTATTACTCTTATTGTACAGGTGAAAAAGTTAATGTTCAGAAAGGCACAGCTACTGTCCCCAAGTCACACAGCAAACAAGTGGTGGGATTTGAACCCAGCACTGTCTTGGGTTTGATGAGACACGTTTAGGTGCTATGTGGAGTTACCTCAAGACCTAATGCCTCTCCATGTGTTTTAAGGAAACTGCAAATTTCTCAAAATGGCCCCAGAGAGGGTCCCTCTTCCCACTCTGCTAAAACGTGCCAGGTCCCTCCAGAAGCACTGAGACATTGCCCCCCCCCCCAGTTGCCAGTGGATCACGGGATTTGCCTGTCACCCACCACACCTCTGGCTCACCTGGGGCAAAGCAGTGGGCTTGAGACCCCTTCAGCAAGTGCAAATCTCCCCCAGGCAGCGTAACTCACCTGCTTGGGCTGCGGAGACAGCTCCCCACGCAGATCTCAAAGCCTGGAGATAAATGACCTGCAAAAATAGAACAAAAGGCACGAAGAGGTAGGACTGGGGTGGAGGGAGAAGGTGAGGGGAAAAGGGTTGGCAGGTTCCATGGGGAGAGGGAGAGCGCGGAGGGGCGGGATGGAAAGAAAAGAATTCACGTTCTGAATTACACTGGATCTTGGCTGGAATGCCTGTCAAATTAGAAAGACAAGCCTTGTCTATTTTACCAACCCTTGTAAGAAAGATGGTAATAAAGACTTCGATCGTGGGAGGGGAATTGAAATCAGATCCAATAATGGGAAGAGCTTGTTTTCCCCTCAGGAAGCTTGGAGGCTTAATTAAGGAATATTTGTAAAGATTCTGCATTAAAGATACCCAGGAAAAAGTAGCAGCTCTCAGAAATTCCTATTCAATCTCAGAGTCTTCAGCAGGCTTTATTTTTCCTTCTGAGACCCACCAGCTTTTTTTGCTAGAGTCAAACTTTGACATTCTATAATACTTTCTTTGAATGTGGACATCCTTACCAGGGAGCAAACGGCTTTCCCATCAGAGGTCTTTCCTGCCCAACTTAGACTCTTCCGGCTGTAATGTACATGAAAGCAACAAGTCCTTTCAAAGTGGAATTGACATGAAAAACACTGCTAAGGCTGGTTCTCCTAGCATGTTGTCACTCTCTTTCCCCGTTTCCACCCAGCAAAACAGCTCCAAACTTCATGTCTGGGTGGAATTGTCAAGGGAAGCCACTCAGGCCAGTACTCTGTCAGCAATTAAATACCGTCCAAAAAGAATGAAAAGGCTGAACTTGGTTGTACGTTGATATACATGATTCACGGTAAATGCCAGAGCCCGAATCTCATTACTGTCCCCAAGCCCTTGTTCTCCAAGTCCAGAGAGAATCACTGACCTTTAAAATCACTCTGATGAGCTACAACTCTCACTTCTCCCACCCAGGGTGCCATCCCATTCTGCATGGGAACTGCTGGGAGGGGGGTTATAGGACCAGGAAGACGCAGAGCTAAAACAGAGGGGTGGCCCCCGGGGAGAGAGCAACCTACCTGTTCAAGCTGGGACTGAAGGGAGAGGGAAATTCTGAAGAGCAGTCTGTCTCCCACTGCTCTGTCTTTTGCAAACTGTCCTCCTAACTGTACCTACGTCCGCCAGATCATTAGACCCAAACCCGAAATCCCCCAGCCCGAGCTCCCGCCACCTCCAGGTGCAGAGGACCAGGCAAAACAAAACCAAGAGAGATTCCGGCGCCCCTCGGGCTGTTACCTGTGCTCTTCTTTGTCCCTGGACAGCTTCTGCCTGAGCAGGTTGGAGGGTCGTAGCAGGTGGCCCGTCCGAGCCTCAAGGGCTACCGAACTCCAGTGTGGAAGGAGGTACCAAAGAGGCAGCTGTGAGCACCACCAAAGCCCCTCGGAATGGCAGTTCTGGTGCCTCACCCCCCTTTTATGGATGAGAGCCTCCCCCTGTCGCTCAGCCCTTGCCGAGCACAGGCTGCTCGGGAGCCAATGGGGAGGTAGCTCTGAGCAGTCAGAGGCGCGGACCCCAGGGCCCTTCAACTCGAACTCCCTGGGCCTGACACAATAGGCTTCGTGACAGGGGATGTGGAGGAGGAAGCAGCCGCCCTGGGAGCGGGGTGGATTCTGGGTGTAGTGCTGTTTGTCTCTTGAAATTCGGCCACTTCAGTCTTTGATGCGTTTCCAGGAGAGTTTCACAGAAAAAAGAGAGAGCGAGGAGAGGGAGAGGGAGAGGCAGGGGAGGACCGAGACAGAGTTGGAGAAAGACAGAGAGACACTGAGAGTCAGACAGACAGACAGACAGACGAAGGTATAGAGACAGATGGAGACCCAGAGAGATCAAGAGAGGGAGGGAGTGTGTCAGAGGGATGCGGAGACAGATGGGGACAGAGAGAGTCAGAGAAGCAGAAAGATCCAGGGAGACCCAGACACAGAGTGTCGGGATGTCAGAGATGAGGATGCCCAGAGGGACAGAAACAGTCCAAGGGAACCAAGAGGAGAGACAGTCAGACTCAGAACCCACTCAGACAGACAGACAAACGGACACTGAGACAGAGACAGAGGGTCCAGGAGTATGGGAAGACGAGAAGGGGGGCAGCCACCGAAGCCAGGGGTGGGGAGGGGTGCACCCCCGTGGGGTGCGCTGTGGCAACTCTGTGTGTGGCTGGGGCATGTGTGCCCTGGAATGTTTCTGTGCGTACATTCGCTGCGACCGACTGTTGATGCTGGTACAAGCCTGAGCTGATGCCAGGCACAAGCAGCCCTGGCAGAAGTACAGCCTTTCCCCGGCAGCCAGGAGCTGCAGTTGACTTTTCTCTGGCAGCAACACAAAATGAGTAGCATGAAATCCCCCTCAAAATGTGGGCTGTGGGGCGTCTTCGCAGGCACGCGGCTGGGGGCATGCCCACCTCATGCGTCCCCTCGGCCTATGCCAGTAGCGGCTTCAAGGGTGCACTCTTCTTAGCTACAGATACCTTCCAGCACTTAGGGGGTCTCGGGGTTCGGAAGAGACCGTGGGAGTCTCTCCTTAGTCAGCAGCAGACAAGCACTTGAATGGTGGGAGGCATGGCCGTTTCAGAAGTCTGGCACGGGCCGCCCGTGTCGTGGGCACTTATGTTGCACCAGGCAATCAGTCAGAGTTGTCAGGTTTAATCCTCCCGACCTGGCCAGGTAGTGAGTATTATGCTCCCCTTGCAGATGAGGAAGAAGAGGCTTGAGAGCTGAGAAATTTGCCCAACGGCACACAGAAAGTAAGTCATCAAGCTGGGTTCCTGCCCCAGGTTTATCTGACCCAAAGTCCCTGCCCACCTCCTCACCCCTCCTTGGGCATAAAGCCTTGAACCTGCCCACCATGAGGGGTGGGGGCCGCGTGCTTCTTTCTCCCTTCCAGTCTCTCCACCTGTACAATGTGAGAGATGGCTGCGCTGAATAACGTTTAAAATGTGGGTTTGATTTCCAGCTCTGCCACCCACCAGTGGAGACCTTAGAGGAGTTTTCAGCTTCAGCCTCAGTTTGCTCATCTGTGAAATGGGGACAATGGCATCCAGTTCATTGGGCTCTGGTGAGGGTGAAACAACAGGGCATGCGCAATGGCACTTAACACAGTGACACCTAGTGAGGGCTCCACCACCTTCTGTCCTGTGGTTAATTACCTCATTCTCCCTCTGACGCATCCCGGTTCTCTGGGGCCCCTTCCTCTCCCTGCACCAGGTTCACGCTAAGGAGGACGATGGAAGGGCCATTGCTGAGCACTTACTATGTCTGAGACACTTCCCGTGTTTCATTAGATCCTCACGACAGGCAAACATGTGACATGAGTATCACAATGCATCCTCAGAACAATAAGTCAGCTGAAGCTGAGGGAGGTCCCAGTCACACTGGGAGGGAGGAGGAGTTGAACCCGAAGCTCAGCCCCTGAACACTCTCTCCTGGCCTTGAGCTGAGGTCTCCCTCCTTCCTCCCAGGGAAGACTCTTCAGGACCCTGCTGGCTTCTTCTCCTGCTCCCTAGTCCCAGGCATCATGTTGGGTCTGACAGGCAGATACAAACCACTTCCAGGTGCCCTCTGTGGAAGCCCCCAGCCCCAGTGTCTGATGGCCACGGTCGAGGCTTAGCATGTGCTTGGCCACACCTCAGGCTGGCTTCCGGCCTGGTGACATGTGGACTTGGGTGGAGTCTGTTTGCTGACACCCAGGGAATCTGAGAGCCCCAGGGTGAGCTTACTCTCCCCCGACAAGTCCAAGTCCTCATCCCAGTTGCTCTCTGTCCTCCTTATTTTGCACCTGCTCCTCCTCTTCCTCAGCTCTGCCCCGAAGCTTTTAGGAATAACCTTGAAATAGACAAAAGCTCTGAGATGGCACAAGTGGCTTCCATTCCCAGAAGTCAGCAGGCACTAGAACACAGGAGTAGGGGCCTCTCCTGGTTATTGTTCACCATAAAGAGAAGTAAAGACAGCGAGGGTAGCAAAGCTGTGGATAGTCCTGCTTTAAGCCATTAGTGATGAACATCCTTCACCCCCGGAGTCTATTGTCAGCCTCACAGCAAATGGCTCATTCACTTGCTCTTTCTTTCCTTCTGCAATGTCCTTTACACACACACACTGCAGGCCAGGACAGGAATAGCTTTCTCCCTGAATCCTAGAGAAGTCTGTCATGGAGCTCACCCCCTCCCAGACTCGGTGAGGCTCGGGGCGTCATTGCAGCCCTCCGGGCAGCAGCACTTGGGGTGGGAAACCACAGAATCAGCACAGCTCACTTGGGTTCAAATCCCGACGCTCCTACTTACTCAGTGGTGGCAACTCATGGCCACATCACATCACCCCTCTGAGCTCCTGACTCATCGGAGAACAGGAAGACCACAGGAGCTTCATGCAGGTGTCAGGACCAACTGCAAAGCTCCGGCACACTCCTGTCCCTGTGTACCCGCAGCACATGACCAAGTCTCTAGTTCAGATCTTGAAGGGGGCAAAAAGGCAAAAACTAAAGAGGAGGCAGTGTTGAAACAACAAACCCTCAAAACATCCTGTTAGATAGGCATAAGGAAGAACTTGGCTGAAGGCAGAAGAGTGAGGAAAAACAAATCCATAAAGCCAGCATTTCTTAAGGGCTTCCTGCATGTCAGGCCCTGTTGTAAACCATTAACACACTTGATTTTCTCAAGGACCCTGCAATTAGGTGCGAGTCCTACCCACACTTAACAGATGAGGAACTGGGGGCTGGGAGAAGGGAAGTCGCTGGCAGGCAATCATGTGGCTGGAAAATGGCAGAGAACAGCTTGAAACCAGGCTGTTGGGCTGCAGGCTTGTGCCCCAAGCTGCTTCCCAGCTTCTCTCTGCCCCCAGCTCTGTCTCACCCACAAAGCTCTGTGTATTTCTAGGTTCACCTGTTGCACTGGGAGCAGGTGACATGGATCACTCAGGAGGATTTTGGTGGAATTTACTCCCCACCGCCCCGTCAGCATCCAGTCTCCTGAATCACTCTTGCATGCTGCAATGTGCCGGGCAGGGATCTCGGGGGACCTGCACTGGCTCCTGGTTAGGGGGCCGTGTCTGTGGCTGCCATGGGAATGGAGACAGGGGCCAGAAGCTGCGCTTAAGGTGTAATGATACCCAGTCTCTCCATCTCTCTCTCTCTCTCCCTCTCCTCCTCCTATATTTTCATGTTGAAACGTCACAGTGTGCCATTTTGTGCTTGGCCGTGGGTATAAACTGTGCCACACACAGTTTTGCCTTCTTCGTGCCCATGGTCCAGTTGGGGGAGCAGATGTATGAACAGGCAATGCCCAGTGATATGATGATGCTGGGCTAGAGCAGACCTAGAATACTGTGGGAACATAGCAGAGGGGAGAAAGTGGGGGCTAAGTGAAAACTGATGCCCAAGCAGGCGCTCCCTAGGCAAAGAGAAGGAAGGCACCTTCCAGTCAGAGGGAACAGCATAGGTGAAGGCCTAGAGGCAAGGAGAATTAAGCAGGATGACAGAGGAATCATCCTGGACTCCCCTCATTCTCTGGCCTCACATCCAGTTCATCAGCCGTCTTCACAGTTTCTGGCTCTGCAACCCTGGCCAGCTCCCCATCTCGGCCCCACTGGCTTCTGCTCCCACCCTCACTCTCACCTTCTATTGGCTCCTCAGCAGCCAGAGAGATTATTTTAAAGACATAACTCAGATTGTACTACGCACCTGTTTATTACACTGCAGAGGGGTTCATCCCACTTGGTGGGAATAAGACCCACACTGCTTACCTGAAGGACCTGCTCTCTCTCCACCAAGACCGGCTGCCTCTTGCTTCCTGTTTGCTTCTCTCTCTACAACCCCCACCCCCAGCTTCCTGCTGCTCCCCAAACTCAGGGAACACAGTCCTGCCTCAGACTTTGCCCCTGCTGTGCCTTCAGTCTGGAACACACTTTTCCTTCACATTCACAACATCCCTTCATCAAGGTTTTGGCTTCAGTGGCAGGTCTCCCCTGCCTACCCTGTGCCCCATCATCCAGCTCTACTTACGGTCACAGCTTTTGTCCTGGCTGCCATCTTCACTAGCTCATTTGCGTGTTGCCTGTCTGTCCTTGTGGAGTGAAGGCAGCCACACTGTCTGGCTCACTGTTGTCTCCCTTCCACCCAAAATGGAGCCTGGCATATAGTAGGTGCTCAGGAAACATTTGCTGAGTTAATGACTAAAAGAACTACAAGTAGCTTAGTATGGCTGGAGGTGAGAGTGGAAGACAGGAATGGGGAGAGAAGAGGTGAGCAGCCAAGCAGGACTCCAGTACCAGGTTAAGGTACAGCCCTTTGTCTGTAGGGCATCTGGAGTCTGGGAAGGGTTGGAAAAGTTTCTCCATGTGGATGAAGAGCCCAGAGAGCTGAAGAAGCAAGTCGCTCAATCATTTCT